AGAATATGCGAATGGAAAAAAATAAACATGCATTACTGCTGTACATATTTACCTTTTCCATAGATATACAGTTTCCAATTTCAGGAAATGAAATATTTTCCCTTTTCCTAATTAATTGTTTTTTCACTCTCAAGCTCTCACTTTTCATTTTTTATTTTTCTTATTTTTATTTTAATTTTCTCTTCGCTCCGCCTCAAGAACCTCCGCCATTAGGAAGTAAAGAAAAAAAAAAGTTTGATTTAGTTTTGAGACGCGCCTTCCCTCGCGAGCCGAGCAGGTCCCTCCCTCGCCCCTTCCCTGTCCCTAACTCGGCAGGGCTTCCTCGCCCCCGGTCTCCCTGTGTACACTTAAAGGTCATGGACGCTGCCGCATGCATCATTCTCTAGGTAAACTGTGTACGTCTGTGTGCGTTTTTTATACCGTGGAATTGTTAAAAGTTACGAGTAAGTGGACCCATTGCGAAGAGTGTTTGTTTACACTTACCAGAGAGTCAACATGAGATGAATTATGGGTTTCAAGAAAGATTATGAGACGCGTATGTGTGAGGAAGGATAATATACGATCATACATAACTAGAGGGACTCGTTGATGGTTTAAAGGCCGTGTTTGCTTTGCCAAGGAGGAGTAATTATGACGGGTAGTTATTAGTCACTTGGCATCCGTTGATTTTAGTCTCGTCGCTATGATATCTTAGCTGATATATGACAAAGGCGAGGCAACAGAACGCAATAAGTAAATATGACAGTAATAAACAAACACTGCTGTTGATGACATAGCAACGAACAACCACTAAACGGTTCGCTTCACAGACTTCTCTCCCCCTGCTTGTCAACCCCAGGTCAGCCCTTTGTATTCCACCCCAACAAAATATGGTTTTATGTATTTTATAAAAGTTCAGAACATTACATTAGCATATCCCCATATATTACATTTTAGGATGTAACATAGGCGTATCTTTTAACCCATCAGCTGTCATAAAATCATCGGTTCTTGGCCCTTATGCCAGGCAGACTGAACGGCACTTACTCTGCCTGACATTCCCCGCAGACTTTCAACGAAGCTTCACACAACAGACTGGCTCCCTTGTTTACTCTGCCGAAGGTCTGAGTTGATTAAATGTATTTGGTTTCCTTGTCACGAGGCTCTATTCATAGATGATAACAGCAGTACTAATAATGATAAAGAGGATGATGATCGTAATGATAATGAATAACGATGATAAAGTTGCAGCTGATGATGATTATGATGATGGCGATGATTATGAAAAAATAAGGATGATAGCAACATCTGCAACAGCAAAATTGAAATACTGATTATCAAGGTAAGGATGATATTGATAGGATGATTATGATGATGGTTATGAAGATGATGAAATAGTGGTACCAATAGATATATAGTAAACTAAAATACCTGAGAAAATGTATCGGTTACTGTAAACAAAGAGAAGAAGAGAAAGAAAATAAACAGAAACATAATAACAGGACGAAGAAAAATAAGAAGACGAAGAAGACGACGAATAAGAAAAGAGGAATAAAATAAAACGAAGACTAAGAAAAGGAGGAATAAGATGAAACCGAAAAATAAAAATAAGACGAAGAAACCATAGAATAAGACGAAAAATAAGAAGAGGACGAATAAGAAGAAAACGAAAGAAAATAAGACGAAAAATAAGAAAAGGACGAATAAGAAGAAAACGAAGAAAGCGAAGAAGGAGAATGCGAAATAAGCAGAAAGAGGCATAACAAAGTAGCGATCTGTGTTCTTCCCGTCCGGAGGAGAGATGCCAATTAACCGAATATAAACACGAAACCAACGCTCAGGGATCAAACGGAAGGCAGGATTAGCGATCGGAACGAGAGGAAGTCAGGAAGAAAATGGAAGAGGAGGAGGAGGAGGAGAAGGGGGAGAGAGGAGGAGAAAGGGAAAAAGAAGAAGAAGAAGAAGAGGAATAAGGAGGAGGAGGAAGAGGAGGGGAGAAGAAGAAGAAGAAGCAGAAGGAGAGGAGAGGAGGAGGCGGAGGAGGAGGTAGGAGAGGAGGAGAAGGGGGAATAATAATGATAATAATAATAATAAGGAGGAGGAGGAGGGGAGAAGAAGAAGAAGAAGAAGGAGGAGGAGGGGGAAGCGGGAGGAGAGGAGGAGAAGAAAGCAGAAGGAGGAGGAGGAGGAGGAGGCGAGGAGGAGTAGGAGGAGGAGGAGAAGGGGGAAGAAAGAATAAGAATAAGAATGAGGAGGAGGAGGAGGAGAAGAAGAGAAGAAGAAGGAGGGGAAGGAGGAGGGGAGGAGGAGGCGGAGGGAGGAGTAGGAGGAGGAGGAGGAGGCGGAGGAGGAGTAGTAGTAGTAGTAGTAGGAGGAGGAGGAGGAGGAGGAGGAGGAGGAGGAGGAGGGAGGAGGAGGAGAAGGAAGAAGAAGAAGAAGAAGAAGAAAAAAAAGAAGGAGGAGGAGAGGGAGGAGGGAGAGGGGGAGGAGGAGGAGAAGAAGAAGAAAAGGAGAGGAGGAGGAGGGAGGAGGAGGAGAGAGAAGAAAGAAGAAGAAAGGAAGAGGAATGAAGAGGGAGGAGGAGGAGAAAAAAGGAGGAGAAGGAAGAAGGAGAAAGAAGAATCAGTAGAAGTAGTAGAAGAGAATGATGAAAAGGGGGAAAGGGGAGAGAAGAAAAAAAAAAAAATAAATATATGTGATATATGTCGATATATGTTGTTAGGATCCGTCCACGAAACGCCAATTAGCGAAACATAAACAGGGAATCCGCGAAGGGGGATTAAACGAAATGGTTCAGCTCGGCGATTTGTACCTTTATTGTACAGCGGGTCACAAAAGTACCTGAACGACGTCTATCCACACGAAAAGGTCGTGATATTTGGGTCATGGCCGGAGAGTACGCCACTGATCAGCTGACAGATTTTAGGAAACGTCTTGGAATGAATTTTAATCTACTTCTTTTTTCGTTCCAGTACACTCGGTTCAGCTTTCTTTCTTTATTTATTTATGTATCTTGTTGTTTGTTTACTTATTTACCTATTTCAGCTGACATATCTCTCACTATTTCTGTCGTTTCGTGCCATTCATTTCATTCAGTTAGGCTTAAATCTGCTATGGTGTTCATAAAAATCTCTTATTTACTCATTTTAGCTGACAGGTTTCAGGAATCGTCTGTATAATGGGACTGCTTTCTCATCATTTTTGTCTCGTCTCACTTCATCTCTCTCTCTCAGCCATCTCAGTTCATCTCTGCGATGGGGCTTAGAAGCATCTCTTAGTTCCTCATATCAGCTGACAGGTTTTAGGAATCGTCTGTTTAATGGGACTGCTTTCTCATCATTTTTGTCGTCTCACTTCTTCTCTCTCTCGGTCATCTCAGTTCATCTCTGCGATGGGGATTAGAAGCATCTCTTAGTTCCTCATATCAGCTGACAGGTTTTAGGAATCGTCTGTTTAATGGGGCTGCTTTCTCATCATTTTTGTCGTCTCACTTCATCTCTCTCTCTCAGCCATCTCAGTTCATCTCTGCGATGGGGCTTTGAAGCATCTCTTAGTTCCTCATATCAGCTGACAGGTTTTAGGAATCGTCTTTGAACTGGCTTGTAGGAAATGACCTGTAATTTGCTCTTCTCGTCTCCTGTTCTCCTCTGGAAATCACGTGTCTTTTGCGTGGGTCAAGAGGTCTTGGTCCCTTGCGTTTTACATCTTACTTTGGTCAGTTACATGTGGTGTGGAGATTGAATTTTATTGCCTGGTATCACCTTTTAACATCTAAGTTACACACACACACACACGCACACGCACACGCACACACGCACACACGCACACACAACACACACACACACACACACACACACACACACACACACACACACACACACATACACACACACACACACACACACACACACACACACACTTACAAGAACACACGTTTATAGTAATGTTCATTGTTTTTTTTTTTTGTACATTAATCTTCAAATGTAAATTAATGTGCATCCTTCGTAGAGAAACCTTGAAGTATTTGTCTTCTGATTCATAGCGAAGTATTGATTCGTTCAGCCTGCGTCCTGTCGAACCAGAGAAAATATTTTGGATTCATTTTTTTTTTTGAACCGCGTCAGCATGGCCGCTTTAAGGACGAGGCTCAGGCATACTAAAAGTGGAGGCATGTGGAATTCAGTAAAAAATGCGTTATATCGTAACATAGAAGGGAGAGTGAACTATGCTGTTGGTGGATGCTTTAATAATAATAATAATAATAATAAATATATGGAACAAACAAAACAAAACACATCCATACATATATACCCAAAGAGAGAGAGAGAGAGAGAGAGAGAGAGAGAGAGAGAGAGAGAGAGAGAGAGAGAGAGAGAGAGAGAGAGAGAGAGAGAGGAGAGAGAGAGAGAGAGAGAGAGAGAGAGAGAGAGAGAGAGAGAGAAGAGATACAGCTCATACGCCTACATTTTCTTGAGTTACATGACTCATACATTCATCTTTTGACTTGTAACCTTTACCTCAAAGGGATTAATAATGAAACACTGACTAACGGCCGTTTCGCGGTTGAGTCAGTGCACAGGTGCGTTCAAAGATTGCGTTAGCATGGCTGTCTGTACAATACTTTCATATATGCTTACATGCGTATGCGCAGTATATATATATATATGCATATATATATATATATATATATATATATATATATTATATATATATATATATATAATAATATATATATATATATATATGTGCATATATATGTACATACATATACACAAGAACGCGCGTGTGTGTGCGTGTATTTGTGTCTATATGTGGGCGTGTAAGCATACGTTTATGCATATATATTCAAATCCTGCATGTATAACACCTGCGTTTTTTACCCCCCCCCCCCCCCGGACCCCCAAACCGAAGAAAAGCTCCCCCCCCCACTCCCCCCACCCCCACCCAGCGGCGCGTCGACGGCCCCAAACCGAGGTCAAGACGAAGGTCCTAATTGACGACCTTCCTTCTCGTTGCAGATGCGTGATGACATCCAGCCAGCTGTCTCTCCAGTCCCTCCGGGCGGCAAGTCAAGCCAAGGAGCTGGTAAGTGGCGGTCCGGCGGCGAGTAATTGTCGCCCGCAACCTTCTATTAAGGCTCATTAGCATATGTCAAGGGGGGGGGGGGGGGGGGGGGTCGGGTCGTTTTGAGGGGATGTGTGTGTTTTAACTCGACGGCTTGTGATTGGTCCTTCTGTTTAGTTTTGGGTGTTTTTCTCATTGTAGAAAAGATATGAATGAGAAAATAAATATATATTTTCACAATACAAGAGATGTATTTATCCGGTATTGACTTCACCTTCGTCTGGAAAACGTGTGTTTCGAACGAAGATGTAATCGAAACTGGTTAAATACATTGCACTGTGAAAATATTCCTCCGCGTTCATACCTTTTCTACATTTGTCGCAATAAATACTCTTTTTTTTTATCATTGTGACCAGGTAGAAGATGTTAATTACATAAAAAGGCATTATTGTTGACCATGTTGTCGATGTACGTTTTATAAATTTTGGTAGATTTGCACAACTTATTTGTTACGTGTTACGAATATTTGACGGTCTTTCCAGTTGCAAAATCTATATTGCTCCCGTGTGCATGGCAATTACATCTGCATACATTCACAAATCCATCAATCTCCCCTTTATACACGCATGCAAATACGCGCACGTAATTTTGTGCAAATACACTGCACCGAAAAAATCCAATCTCTACAAAACAAATTATTTTACCCTCCATTTTGTTTTTTTTTTTTTTTTTTTTTTTTTTTTACAAATGCAAACACTTCCAACAACACGAATATTTCACGCTTCTCTTTAGCACTTTTCGCTCGCTAAGTCAGGCATTCTAGCACCTCCCGCTACATTTCACGCTATCGCTGACAGGTTCATGTAGAGTAATCTGGATGAAGGAGAAACAGAGTAACTAGATAAGGACACAAATATCAAAAATACTATAAAGTGTTTCTCCACACAATTAAAAGTCCATATAACTCGGTGTCAAAGACAAGTGCACCTTAAAGATCAGTTAGACGATCTCTCTGCTTTCTAACCACTTTCATGGGACAAGAAAAATAAATAAATAATCAAATAAATCAATGAATGAATGAATAGACAAATAAGATAAAAGAAGTGAGACAGTGCCGACCCCCAAATGACCGGGAAGAGAGTCGGGTAATGAGCCAGCGAGGCGGGCATGTTGGCAGGAATGCAGCGACGGGAAGGCACGAGTTGTCACGCTACCGCCTCACGCCCTGTCCGCATGGAGCACAACCCACCACATTTTCATTCCAGAGAAGCAATTCATTCCACATAAGCCTACGTCAGGGTCACGTACGTAGTTCTGGGCTGGCTCTGGGAATTGCGGCTGAAAACACCCTTTGCACAAAGCACGTTAATGTATGCGAGTCAAAGGTGTTCGCTGTCACGCACAGGTAATGAAAAATCCCAGTCTGGACGTCACTGAACAAGATCTGTGAGGGATTATTATGTAATTGGTCCCTGCGTTGAATTTGATGGCTGTTGTTTTTTTTTTACCCCCTTAAGTGATATGTAAAAATGTTGTGTACACCTGCAAACACTACTTACTTCTGCAAATACTAACATGTTTGCCCTGGCTGGCCCTTGCGTAGATTTTGACTCGATAGGTCATACCTTCTAGGACTAGGGGCAAGTCAGGAGAACGGAGCGAACACCGACTGAAGTTGGCCCTAAATTAAAAGTAGACGCGATGTGGGAGATGAAAAGGGAAGCACCGGAAGGTAAAAGTGAGTTCGCATGGCTCTTTAATTCCGTCCGTCAGAAGCCGCGTGGTGGCAGCATGGAGCGCCTCGTGCTGCCAGACGTACGACGCCCGCAGGTGGGTCGTAACCAATATTGATCTCCGTCTCGATGTTGCCCAGTCTGCCTATGCTCGCTCCCACACCTACTCACTACCCCTATTGGCGCCCACATGATGCCTCTGAGTACCACAATACCCCCTTCCCAGTGCCCCCAACCTCTCATGGGACCCCCCAGAAAACATCCTGCATCCTGAAATGTGCGCACATCCCGTAGACTATGTACATTTGACCTATCAAGAAGTACCCATTGTTTCACAAGCTGGCTCCCGCACGATCCAATATAACCCTTTGATATTACCTATTACATGATCCCTTCATAGTATCTATTCGTGGTCCAGCTGGCTCCTAGTTTTGAGGCGCCACTGGCTCGTCACCGCATGAACTTTGACCATCTCCCACGTGACAACCGTCCCTCTCATGGTCCATTCACGTCCCACGCAATGCTCTCCTCTAGCGACTCGAGCACCTTGTTTTAGCATATAGATCCATATAATCCCCCCTCTGTGTCAATACGTCTCGTAAATCCTTATGCGTAACGTAACTAATCCACAGTACTACTGCACAGTGTTCAGTTAATCACGAAATTATGTTTCCTCTGGTCCTCTGGATATTGCACTGATGACTTGTCGTTCATTTTGAAATTAGTGTTATGAATCACATCTTACCTAGACCTTTATATGTCTGTTGATTATCCTTCGAGATACCATATTTACTGACAACAAAATAAAACATTTAATACTTATACCATGGTATTATATTTTTTGTCCTCTCACTTCTGAATGATAAAACGTCTTGGTTTCTAATATGTATTGATACATGGCGCAGATGATTTATATGGTGAAGTGAATGATAAAACGTCTTGGTATCTAATATGTATTGA